CTTTTGTTTAGTTGACAAAAAACTTTTGGTTTTGGAATAATGTGGCATTTAGAACCAAAAATATAAATATCTTACTGTGATTCTAATCATCACTGCTATATTAAAAAATTCACACAGTGCTGCACCTGCTACTGGCACGGTGTTACACACAGAAAAGGCAAGGTTGGAGCCTACATTAGCAGTATTCTAAACTTAGCAACAGCAGACTATAGTCCATCATAATATGATGGGTTTTCCACACTAATCAAGTGTCATAAATGGATTATCTTAAAATTACAGAGAGAACACTGTAAATTCCCTAATGTAGACTTTTCACAATTTGGATTCTTGCTAAATCAATTTAGTGGATTGCAATCATCATTTTAACAAGTGAAATAGAATAGAATGGAAAATATATATAGTAAGAGTGAGTACCCAGCTATTCCACTGCTGGGTATTTATCCAAAGAACATGAAAACACGAATGCTTAAAGATATATGCACCCCTATGTTCATTGTAGCATTATTCACAATAGCCTAGACTTGGAAACAACCTAAGTGCTCATCAAGGGATGAATGGGTAAAGAAGAGGTGGTATATATACACAATGGAATACTAGTCAGCTATAAAACAAAAGATGAAATCTTGCCATTTGAGACAACATGGATGGACCTTGAGAGTATTATGCTAAGTGAAATAAGTCAGATGGAGGAAGTCAAATACTATATGATCTCACTCATAGGTAGACAATGAAAACAACAACCAAACACATAGATACAGAGACACAGAGATACAGAGATTGGTGGTTACCAGAGGAGAAGGTGGGGAGGGTGAAAGGGGTGTCAGGGCACATGTGTATGGTGATGGATGGTAGTCTTTGGGTGGTGAACATGATGTAGTCTGCACAGAAATCAAAATATAATGATGTATACCTGAAATTTATATAATGTTATAAACCAATGTTACCTCCATAAAAAAAGTCTTTAAAGAAAGTAATGTTTTACTTATACTGAGTTATAATATAAATGGTGTTTTCACTATGTTTAGCAGTGAATGCTTTATAGCCACATCACTATATACTCGTCTGTAAAACATTAAATATATATTGAAGAACTGTAATGTGCATGGCATCGTGTTAGGTGCTCTGGCACATGTTATTAAGGTAAATAAAACTCGAGCCTGTCCCTCAAGGAACTTAGGGTATAGTGTAAGAAAAGTCATGTACACAAATAATTATATTAAAAGTGCATTATGTGATAAGGCCATAGTGATAATAGAGCTTAGAACATTCAGAGAACATTCATAACAGAGTTGGCATTTGAGTGAGTTTTGAATGATCAATAGGATTTTATTTGCTCAAGAGGTGAACAGAGAGCGTAAGAGTATTAGCATGAACAAAAATATATATAAAATGTGATGGTAAGCAGAGAGTAATCTACTTTTTTAAAAAGATAATCTAGTACATGCAGGTCAGTGAAGGAAGTTAGGCCTGCAAGGGTAAATATTAAAATTTATACTTTACTCAGTAGTCACTGAGGAGCCATTAAGGAAATTAGTGACATGATCAAAGTGATATTTTAGAAATGGTAATCTTATAATAGTGTTGGTTATCTTGGAAGGGAATAAAACCAGTTGTAGGTAGTCTAGAGAGGCAACAAAGGAAAGAGTCCCAATATAGAATAATAACTAAACTATGGTCAGGGTGAGGAGAATGGAAACGAATGGAGAGACAGATCTACAATATTTACCAAAAATAACAACAGCAACAAGTATATCATCAATAAGACTTGCATTTAGATATAAGAACCAAGAGAGAATGAGTTAAAGGTAACTCGAGAGTTTTAATTAGGATGGTTAATGATGTGATGGGACCGTTAATAGGAATAGGGAAGTAAGAAAGGTGGAGAAGATAATGGGTTGTGTCTTAGAGAGAGTAAGTTTGAGATGCTGACAGGTGACCAAAAGCCCATTGGAAATAAGGAATGGACACCAGGAGAGGGGTTTGGGAATGATCTGGAAGGTGATAGTTGAAGCATGGCAGTGAACATCATCACTCAGGGAGAGTTTGTAGAAAAAAGAGGGAAAGGGACAAAATTTGAGGAGCCTCCCCCTACCCCCATTTAAGGAGTAAAAATTAAATTAAGTCACTAACAACAGCTTAAATATTCTGATGGGTAGGTGAGATAGTGGGATATCAAAACCTAGGGAAGAGAAAGTTTCAAGAACAAATGGCTTGAGCAATGTTATATGTAACAAAGAGGTTAAGAAAGTTGGTAGGGGGCATTTATTTTGCCAAATAGCAGGTTTATGGGTGACACTGCAAGGAATTATTTTTGAAATGTGGGGATGGGAGGAAAGTTGTGTAAATCAGATTATAAAAAGTAAAAAGAGTGAGCAGGGGAAATGGAAGGAGAAAAATAAGGGAATACACAGAAATTTTAAGGAAAGGAGGTAATCGAATGGGTAATTTTATCGATAAAATTAGACTGAAACAGAGGTTGTTGTTTTGTTCTGTTTACGATGAATTGAGGTTGGGAATGTGGCCAGTGGAATGGTGGCTATCCACAATTGATACAAGTAAAATAACTTAAAAATGATGATCGTGGAGCAACAGTGAAGGGATAGTTGAGGTCAGACGTAGACAGCATAGTCCAATGACCTCCTACAGTGTCTCTTGGTATCTCCACAGGACACCTGAGAAAACAGAGTGGAAATGGTTTACAATGTCGTTTACCAGGTATTGCAGAGGTCAGGGGGCCTGAGGGTCACAAATGATATGGGAGCCAGGCAGGAAAGGGATGTAAGAAGGTAAGGAGGATAAAGTCCAAGAGTTGGAGGTAAATTAGAAAACAGGTATCTGTCTGAAATCATTGATGTTAAACAGCAGCAATTCATTTCATTTGCTGCTTGCTTAGTTGAAGCATATTTGAACTATTTTAAAAAGTCGCTGAGCACCAAGGGGCTTTTCAAAGAATTCACAAGTGATATCTGTGGCCAGTTCCCTGGCTATAAGTTTTTACTGCTTAGCTTAAAATAGCAATAGGATTATAAAACGTTTTTTTTTTAAGTCATGTTTTGTTCTATGACTGTTCAGTCTAGTGTTTTGCCTCCCAAAATGGCACCATAGATTCTTTTACGCATCATTTTCCTCCATGTTTTAAGCTTAGAAGTTTATGATTACATCTCTGAAATCCCAATCCATAGTTTCTCCTAGTAAATTATTATAGCTCTGTTATCTAAATTCTTATTTAAACGTTTGAATCCCCTTCATTTCACTTCTTAGGATAACAAGATAGAATAAGCCCATCTGAATGTTGAGTAGCAATGTTTCCCAGAATGTACTTTGCAGACTTAGTCCCTTGAGATGCTACAAAATAAATAAAGGAGGGGGAAGGTATAGTATGGTCAGGTAACTTGAGGAAATGCAACAAGTTATTAGATTATATTTCCTTTTGGGATATTCAAGATGCTTATTAGCATATTAAGGCTGTTGGGAGCCCTGCAGGAAAGAAAGTTAATTTTTTCTAAATCCTACATTTCTCAAGCTTATCTGACCACAGGGACCACTACCACCATCTTCACCACCCAGGTTTGCTTTTGCACAAGACTAGCTAATATCCTTTGGAACACACTTTGTGAAATATTATATTTGAAAATGTGTTAAAAACTAATCTAGAACAGTATAAGAATGAATTCTATGAGTCTGTGTGTTGAGTACTTAAGAAAGAGTAGAATAACAGAGACAGATGAAGAAATGAGAGTGTGTAAATTATGGGCGATGACCATAAATACACCAAAGCAAATGTGTCAGGACAGAAGGAGCCAATAATGTTTAGGAAAAATATTTCTCCCAAAACTTGAGGAATGACTCCTACTTCTGTTATTCTAGGATATGGAAATCAAATCTGAGTTTATCATCTCCATTCCACCATGATTTTTGTTTAGTGGTTAGTAAAAATCACAGACTAACGTCAGACCTCTGTGGGAATCTTGGAAAAACTATTTATTAGCTGTGAAACCTTAGGCAAGTTACTAACCTTTTAGTCTCATCTGTAAAATGGAGACAAGGTTATAGTAAGGATTTAATATTGAATATATATGGTCCTTAGCAGCGTCTGCACATACTAAGTTCCCAATAAATGACTGATATTCTTAATTATTTGTATTATCTTTTCCTACTCTGCATTCGCCTCTCCTATCTGAAGGTCACTGCTTTAAGCCCATACTTATATAGCAATCTCTTTCTCTACTTAATCCTTTAAATTATATTTTTTATACTTTATTTTTAGTTCTATTATAACTTCTACATAGAAATAGCTGTAATTAGACTTGGATTTTTATCTCTGATAAAATTCTCATTGTTTTTTACCTTGTAATTAACTGTCAAAGAGATCATGCTAGAAGTAGGAGAAATTGACATCTCTGCTATTTTCTGTTGTTGTTACTCACTTGTGCATGAATTATTAATATTATCTTCAAGGCACAGTTTCTGTGCAGAAATCACTTTAAGCTGTTTGGCTGTTACATTACATTTTGTTTAGTTAAAACAAGACACGTAATCGATTAATATACTTTACTGGGTTCACGTAAACTATCTTGGTTGATAATGTCCAGCATTTTGTTAGCCCTAGATACCATGTACTTGGAGTGGATGTCTTTAGGGAGTAGTTTATGTTGATAACTCATAAAGTCTTTTTGACATTATAAACACAGTCTTGGAATTTGGACTTTTAAGGAAAATTATGTTGTTAAGAATCATAAAGATGACAAAAGAGTACATATATCTTATAATCATCTAAATTCTGTTATAAGTAACAGCAATGTAAGGTTAAGCTTAAATGAATGAAGTTACCCCAGGTTACTTTAATATTCTCTTTTATCTAATCAAATGACTCCAAAGTAAGAAACTGAATTTTGTTATTGGAATGCAAAAGCCTAAGACTCCTCAAAAAGGATTTTTCTGTTAGTTCTCATAATTAATGTCTAATGCATAACTTTTCTCTTGTATTTTAATGTTGACAGCTTGTTCCCTGTGATTCCTTAGAATCAGATGAAATGGAAAGGCTTAAGCGTGAAAGAAATGATGCCTTAGAAGAAGTGAACACACTTAAGGTAATCTCCAATTTAGCCTCCTTACATTTTCTTTAGAAAAAAGAAAGAAGGAGAATTATCTTGTGTTGAACTCTGATGTATTGGGGCTTAGTTTTATTTTTAAGTAAAGAATATTAATATTAAATAACTTCATATTAATATCTAATAATTGATATTGAATATTAATATCAAGTGATTTGAAATTTGAATATTTCTTCAATTAGAAGAGTTAATTTTTTAGTTCATACATTTATTATTCATATTTCATAATATCCATGTAAGATTCAGTGTAATAGTGAGTTTTGCTCAAACCTTCTGATCTGGCTACTTCTCACCCCTTTTTTACTCACATTGGTGGCAAGGATGAGGAGCCAACAAAGCAAGCCATGACAGTTTTGGGTCCTCAGATGTTCATTGGGAAATACATTTTCTCCCATGTTCACGGGCATGCTTCAGGGGCATCGTGTTTTTGCTAAAATAATTTGGAATTAAGGCAATATGATTTAAGGGAAGAAAAACACACAGTATATCCCATGTATACTTTAAGATTTTGATTCTCTTTATATATTTTCATTCTGTTTTTAGTAGAATATTGAATTTCAATTATATCTTAATTTTTAGGGAAAGCCGTTATATTTTCCAAATCTTCAAGAAAAGCAGTGTAACTACTTGATATACTGTTAATTCACTGTAGGAATATATTTTTAAATTATTTTTAATTATTTTCTAAAATAAGACAAATTCTATTGTTTATTTATTTAATTTTCATTTAAGCAAAATCTTTATACCTAAAAAAAAGAAAGACATTTCCTTGTTACCTTACTTTTTAAATTCCAACCTCTAGAGGAAGCCACTGTTAAGCATATCTTGTTTATCCTTTCAAAGAGTTTCTCTATACTGTATAGGCAATCATATTTTTAAAAATAAATATGTATATGTATTTTAACTTTTACATAAATCACTTCATACATTGTACACTTTTTTACAACTAGGGTTATATCTTGGGCTACTTTTTAGATTAATATATACAGATCTGTCATATTCTTCTTAACGGCTCTCCTATCATTAAATGGTTCTGTCCTACATTATTTAGCCAGTTCCTTGTTGATGGATATTTAGGCTGTTTTCAATTTTCCATTATTAAAAATAATTACAAGGGCTGGCCCCATGGCATAGTGGTTGAGTTCGGCAAGCTCCACTTCTGCCCTCTGGGATCAGAGGTTCAGATCCTGGGGGCGCGGACCTACACCACTTGTCAGCCATGCTGTGGCGGTGACCCACATACAAAGTAGAGGAGGATTGGCACAGATATTAGCTCATGGCTAACCTTCCTCAAGCAAAAAATAAAATAAAAAATAATTCCATCATAAATAGCTTTGTAGATGTATCTTTGGGCAATTAAACAATTGTAAAAGTACAAATTGAATAAACTTCTGAAAGTGGAATTGCTTTATCAGAAGATTTGGGTACATTCAATTTTATACATGTTACCAAATTCCCTTTCAAAAGGCTTCACCAATTCATGTTCCTTCCAAATGTATATGAGCATTTTATTACTAAAGGAATTTTTTATATACTTCTTTTTACAACTTTGAAAGCACTATCTTTCCACATTTTTTTGTATAAGAAGAGTTAGGATGAAAAATATAAATTTAGTTTTAAAAATAAATTGACAATAGTTTCCTCATATTCTCTTCGAAAAAATCTCGAAGTGTTGGTTACCTTGGTAAAATAGCATTTTTATGTCATCTATCTCTGCATAACAATTAAATCTCATGGTTCATCAGAATTTTCAGAGTTTCTGAGATCTTTTTCATTTCCTTAATGTTTATCATTGTTAAATTTAGTGATATATTTCAGTTTTTTATTCGAATATCAGTATTAATTATTAGAATTTTAATTTAAAACTGAATTCATGTAACATTTAAAGAAGGCTTCTCTGAGGAGCTGTTCAGTAGATCAGGATTCACATTTAAAGTTTATGAAATGTAACTGAACATATCCTAATGCGACAAAACCTGAAATCCCAGATAAAACGTATTCTGTATTTTATAATTTCCTTTACCTAAAAACCTATCATTTGGCTGAGAACCACTTGCTTAGCTATATAAAAGAGTGTACAAAGCAATAAATATTTCATTTGAGATAATGTTTGTACTTTCACTTTTTCTCCTTGTCTTATACACACACAGAAGAATAACAGAATGTTGTTTGTTACATGAAGTATACAGAGTCTGTAGATGGTCTCTCATTGCTTCCCATTATCCTGTGACATCTGTATTCTTCATGTCTGATCTGAGGTACAAATAAAAATGAAACCAAGATAATTGTGTGCCAATAGCTAATTTTTATTTTGCAAGAATGATTTTTAAAAGTACTGTAGGCTTTAACTTAAAGCCTTTCTTCAGAGTTCACATTGCTAGTGCTTTGCAAATCTCAATGAAAGTAGATGTATTTTTCATTTATAGATGCAAAAAACTAGGACACAGAGTGAAGGTCACTTGCCAGAGCATAAAAGCATGAGAGCCAGCAGTTTCTTGGTTCCTGGTCTGTGGCAGACTCATTAGATTGCTCTATTATAGTCACCTTCATATACCTTCATTTCATCTCTTAGGCAAGAATGAGCTGAAATACACTGGAAAGCAGATCACTTCTTATAAACATTGCAATGTTGCCTTGAATATTTACCAATCAATTTAGTCTTCAAGCAATTCCTCTGCTCAAGTTTATAGTAAAATGGCTCTTAAATTACTCTTAGTATTTCTGATTTGGTCAATAAAATGTAGACTTATTTATGATATACTTAACAAAATTGAACATTTTAGGGTATATGCTTAACTTAAGTTCAAAGATGATAATATTTGATTTCCATGCATAATATTATTCTATCTTAATAACTATTATTTCATATATTGGTTACGCCAGTCATAGCTTCACTTTTATGGATAATCTTCCAAGGAAAAGCTAAATTAAGAAAATTGTAATCAACCCAGTTTCATGTGTCCTCTTTAGAATGATAAGCGAGGCTTCTAATTTGTAATAATAATGCTCTTCAATTTGGAAGCTCTTTGGCAATGATAGCCATTACCCAAAATTTAGTTAATATTTACACGTTTTGATTTTGATTGACTTATTTTGAGCCTCCGATTTTGAGATTTTACAAAATGGCTAAAGTAAAAAAAGCATATTTACATCACAATTATACTGTAAATAACTAATTATTTTTAAATGGTATGTAGAAAGCCAGAAAAGTGACCGAGAACTACATTTTCAGATTGTAACAATTGGGTGTTTGGGGAATTTTGTAGCTTTGAAACAACGCCCTAAAAATGATACTCATTGATACCTTCATAACAAGTTATTAATTCAGTGGTTTTTAAATATAGGAAAAATTATTTGAATCAGAAAGGCAAAGGAAACAGTTGACAGAAGAACTCCAGAATGTGAAACAAGTAAGTGCAAACAAGTGAAAGCCTATTGTGTATGTGTGTGTAAACATATGAGGTATAATTGCAAAGCAACGATGCTGTATGATATCCCAGAGATTACAGATGTCAATAATATAGTATAAAATGGCATAGATCTTAAAAGCAATCACTTCCAGAGGCTGTACCTGGGCTGAAGTCTTGCTACTATTGCTCAAAGAAATGTTAAAACTTCTCTTTGAAATAGCTTTCAAAATCAGATAACCAGTGACTGAAACCATCAATCTCATTGCTTTTCTATGCTTTTTTCTTTCTCTTTTCTTTTCTTTTTCCCTTTTCATCTGTTACTCGTACTACTTTTATTAAAGAAAAAACAAAACAAGAAAAAAAAAACAAGGCAGAGCATTTTTTACTTTTATTTTTTAGTAATAACAAGTAAAAATATACTTTTACTCTGCATCCTTCTTCAAAGAATTTTAGGTAGCTTACAACAAAACAAATACAATGATATTATCATGAAATAGATATACAAATAACAAGCAAATGAAATATTAATAAGAGTAGAAAGTTAAGAGAATGTTGCTAGAGACCAATGGCAATCACCATTTTGAATCTCCCCAACATCATCCCCCCAGAAAACATAAAATAGACAAAGAGAGCAAATAAAACCATACAGGACCCGTACCTTCAATATGACTGTGACAGAGAACACCACAACCTTCAAAGTACATAGAAATAGAGTAAAAAAAATCCCAACAAAATCCTGCAGCTTGCCTGTCACTGAAACCTGGGATACAGAAAGCAGAGGTAGTAAGCCTTAAATGACTCTGAAAAAGAAGAAGGGAGAGCAGAGAGCAGTTAGATGAAGTACAAATAAAATCACCTCCAGAAAGAGAAAATGCAACAATTAAGGCCAAAATACTGAACACAGGTCAGGATTTGGTGGTTATCAGGACTTGAGAAAGTGTGTGCAACCAGAAGTGGCAGCCTTGGAGAATCATTGCTTCTGGGGAAGAATCAAATAAATAGAGATGGGATAGTATCCCTTGGAGACTAGGCAATGAAGGGAAAGAAGGAAACAAGAGGGGAAAATGAAGGATCTTGTAGAAATGAAAGAGAAACAAGTTATACCAGTCCTTTCCATCTGTTCCCGCCGTGGCCATCAACATGATCTTCATAAAGGAAACTGCACAGAAGAGGGTGCTGTTGAACTAGGAACTCTTTCTATGAAAGAAAAAGGAATAGGAAAAAAAATCTGTCCCCATTATTACAAAACAACTATGTAAAAATCAGACAGTATGAATTAAAGCTTTCCTTCTGATGAAGCCTCTCCAAAACAATTCAACCACAAAGCTGAAGAAAACTGTAACACGACACTCCAAACTCAACTAAATATCCTCAAGCAAGCATTTGGCACTAAGGAAAAAACACCTCAAATCAGAAGGAAAAAAACTGAGAATAGAAATTGACAAAAAACAGGAAGAAATAAAATGAGAGTTAGTAGAACTTAGGAAAGAAATAGAAGGAAAAGACAAAATTTTATCAGAAATGAAAACTAAATTACAAGTTGCCCAAGAAAGAATATAGTCAAATGAAAAGCCATTAAAGAAAACCAGAAAAGTAACCAGGAAAATGACAATGAAATAAAGAAGTAAAAGAGTTTCTTGAAGAAGTAAATCGAAACAACTGAACGGCACTAATATTTAGAACTATAATCCAAGAAAACTTTCCAGAAATAAAAGACGACCTGAATCTATTATTATGTACTAGGGAAATTTGACCTGGAAAGATCAACTCTAGAACATATCCGTTAAAACTATTATGTTAGACTTTAAAGATAGAGGAAAAAGTGCACAGTGCCTCCAAGTGAAAAGACTGAATAGCATACAAAAAGACCATAGAATTAGACCAGCATCAGCCCTCTCAACGCAGCATACAAAGTAAGGCAATAGTGGAGCAACAGTTTCAAGAAACTAAAGGAAAGTAAGTGTAAACCAAGAATATTGTATATGGCCAGGTTGACTTTCAGATATCAAGGCCATAGAAAAACAGTTAGGAATGTGCCAGTATTCAGGGAGCACTGTACACATGTAGTATTCCTGAGGAATCTAGGAGAGGGTGAGTTTTATCCAGCCGATAAACAGTAAGCATTTCATACGTGTTATTTTATAGCTTACACTAAAATGAGAGTGGGTTCACAGGTAAAAGAATAATGTGTAAACATTACATGTCTGACAAAAATCAAAAGATGCAATTTATGTAAAAGATGATAAGGGAGAAAAAAAGGAAACAGAATATAATCATTCTGTGTATAAGTAAAGGGTAGTAGTCATCAAATATCATTTAAAACTGACATCAAATAGTAAAAGATCAGTTACAAATAGAGAGTATTTCAGGCACTATAAAAAGTAACAATACAAAGGTAACCTATAGAATGAAAATATGAACCTTCCTAAATACCAAAAGAAATTTTCTTAAAAAGCTAAAGGGGTCCAGCTCGGTGGCGTAGTTGTTAAGTTCGGCCATTCTTCTTTGGAAGCCTGGGGTTCACGGGTTTGGATCCTGGACGCAGACCTATGCACTGCTGGACAAGCCATGCTGTGGCAGGCATCCCACATGTAAAGTGGAGGAAGATGGGTACGGATGTTACCCCAGGGCCGATCTTCCTCAGCAAGGAGAGAAAGATTGGCAACAGATGTTAGCTGAGGGCTAATCTTCCTCACCAAAAAAAAAAAGAGCAAAAGGGACACACAAAACAGAGAAACACAGTAAATATAATGTACACAATTAATTACAACAAAATATGACTTGAGACCAAACATAATAGTCATCTTAATTAACATGAATGGGATTAACTCACCTATTAAAAGATTTTTTAAGGAAAATATAGTTTACCAAAACTGACCTCAGTAGAGATAGAGAGCTTAACAGACCAATTTCCATGGAAGAAATAAAGTTATCAAGAAACTACCCTACAGAAAAGGACCAGGCCAGATAGATTTCACAAGGGAATTGAACCAAGCCTTTGGGGGTTAGTCCCAAAACTATGTAAATGGCTTCAGTGTAAAAATTTCAGAGAAAATTAACAAATTCTTTTCTTGAGGCAAGTGTAACATTGGTGCCTAGACCTGATAAAAATAGCACAGAAAAAGAAAATGGTATTAGATTAGAAAAACAAGGGACATATGAATTGGAAAAGAAAAAAGAAAACTCTGTTTGCAGATGACATAATAGTAATCCAGAAAACCCTAAAGAATCAATGATAAAACTAACACGGTGAAAAATTCACAAGCTAGCAAGATATAAAATTAATATGCAAAACTCAATTGCATCCATATACACAAATAATAACCAGTTAGAAATTTTAACAGTGGAGGAGAAACCAAAAATTCTATAGAAAAATGGGCAAAAGGGGCCAGCCCGGTGGCGCAAGCGGTTAAGTGCGCACGTTCCGCTGCAGCGGCCCGGGGTTCGCCGGTTCGGATCCCGGGTGCGCACCGACGCACCGCTTGTTAAGCCATGCTGTGGCGGCGTCCCATATAAAGTAGAGGAAGATGGGCATGGATGTTAGCCCAGGGCGAGTCTTCCTCAGCAAAAAAAAATAAAAAAATGGGCAAAAGACATGAACAGACAATTCACCAAAATGTTATAAAAATGTTAAACATATGAAAAGGTATTCAATCTTTCTCATAATAAGAGAAATACCAATTGAATCTACACTGAGAGAGGACTTCCAGCTTCTAGTAATAATAGAGTAAGATGCTGGCAAAGGACCTCCCCCAACAGAAGACAACTCAAAGACCTGGGCATTCTGCAATAAACAACCACCAAAGGAATTGGAGAGTGAACATAATCAGACAAACTGGGAGGAACTAAATTTCCTGTTTCTACGGCTTGACTCACCCTTATGGTCACTTGATATTCAAAAAAGATTCAAAGACAATTCAGTGGAGAAAAGATGCTCATTAACAATACATGGTGCTAGAATAAGGGAATATTTGTGTGAGAAAAAAATGAATCTCAACCCCTACCTCATATCATACTCAAAAACCAACTCTGAATGGATTATGGATCTAAATGTAAGAAGCAAAGTTATCAAACTATATCTCTAAAGTTAGTAAATTTTACTATATATAAACCATACCTCGACAAAGCTATTTTTTAAAAAAACTATGCCAATACAATTTCTCACCCATCAGATTAGCAAAAATTCAACAACTTGGTAGTACACTGTTGGTGAAGCTGTTTCGAAACAGGCGTTCTCATATAGTGCTGGTAGTAATGCAAAATGGTACAGCCCTGTGAAGGAGAATTTGGCATTTCTAACAAATATACGTATGCATTTACCCTTCAACCTGGCAATCTCACTTCTAGGAATTTACCCCCAAGGTATACCTCCAATATTAAAATACATAGGCACAGTATTTATTGCAGTAGTATTTGTAATTAGAAAATATTGGAAACCATCTTAATCTCTAAGCATAGGTGATTGATTGAATAAACTATGGTATGTACAGACAATGGAGTACTATGCCGCTGCAGGAAGGAATAAGGAAGATCTCTCAAGTAATATGGAGTGACTTCCAGGAGATTTTATCAACTAAAAATAGCAAAGTAGAAAAGAGTATATATAGTATACTGTCTTTTATAAACAAGAGAAATTAAAACATATATCTGTTTATCTTTACAAAAGAAACCAAAAGAAGGAAAAACTGCACAGCAATGAAATTGGTTATCTATAATGTGGGTGGACACAGGGTGGATAAGATACAGGCAGGAGTGGCACCCCTCTGAGAATACCTTTTGATGTAATTTTTACTTTTGGGTGCACGTTAATATTCTACACATGTAAAAAATGTATAAAGAAATCAGTAAACATAGGACAGGGAAAATGAACTTAAAACTACAAGCAAACTAAAATAAATGAATCCATTTGTGTTTCAAATGAATACCATGACCATACTAAAGGAAAACAAAAGCACCAATTCAAGTAACTTGTGAATACGGTATTTATGTTCAGTGTATGA